GTGGGGCCTCTCCTGCCTGGCAGGGTTTCCATAACGAGCCCTTCCTCGTCCAGACCTGTTATCTTGGTTGTCCAGGCTGATCCCCGCGTAGGCTCCCGAGCTCGCTCGAGCCATTTGCTTGCATGCGACTGAAGGAGCAGCTCTGCAGGTGGACGGGCCGTGCATTTCTGTGCTCGCCTGCAGGGGAGTAGCTTGGACAGAGCAATCGGTCACTAAGATTTGCTCCTTGGGGTGATGGGGTCGACTCCCGCCGGGGGTTAGTAGACAGAGAAAGTCCTTAGCAGGCAAAGGAGATTTTGGAAAGGGAGAAATAAGAATTAGGTCCCCCCCGCAGAGCTGAATGTCCCTGGCAAAGCAGCCAGGACTTGGTGCTGGTGCAACAGCCGGTCTCCTGAAGGCAGGGATGGGATTTGCAACGAGGAGCAACCTCACTGTGCAAGTTGAGGAGCTGGGGAGAGGGGATTTAGGGTTTGTGTGTTGTGGGGCTGAGTGGAGGGGGCTCAGTCCCAGCTCTGCGTGGTTGTGCCTGGGTGTGTGCATGGCTGGGGCTCAGCCCCGCGTCCAGCGAAGCGGGCAACCGATGCAACAGGAGATGAGCAGGGGATGGGGGAGGCTGGTGTTTGCCTTCATCCCGCAAGGAGGCACTGGCATCTTCTTAGTGCCACGGGATGGGGTGACAGCAAATATTTATTGTGGGTGGGAGAGGCAGGAGGGTCGAAGCGTGCGTCTTTGGGTTGGGGAGACGCGGAGCCGGAGTGGAAAGGGGCTTGGGATCATTTTGAACAACTAGGACCATTTACCCGGGTCCCTTAAAATCCAGCACACGTGCTGGATCCCTTCCCTTGGGAGCTTGCACAAGCAAGGGGCTGATCCAGGTGCAGCGCTCCTCCCCAGAAGTGGTTGCATTTCAGTGCTAGGTAATGCAGGGCACTGAACTTGTACCCTCCCTGCCAGGTACAAGTTGTGCTTCTCCCACCCTCCTCCTCGTCCTCATCACATTAACAACAGTAATAGAGGGAATTATGTTCGCTGACAGTTTACTGGCAAATGGCCTTCTAGGTTGTGCGAATCTGTGGACAGACGATCATCATTTGTGCAGCCCCTCTTCCACGGCCCCCAATCAGCAGCCAGAGAGACTCCCCAAAATCCAGCCCAACCTGTAGGAGCCTCTGAGCGATTCGGACAGGACTTGCCCTCTGCCCTGCGACAGCCCCCCACGCACATGCGCGTGCGATGGGCCTCCTTTGCACCCGAACGGTCAGGGAGCTTGCGGCATAACTTAAGCAAGGAAAAAAAGAGGAGGGTTGGCTTATTCTCAGGGATGGAAACAGGCCGTTTGCAGCGGCACCTGTCTCCAGCACCAGAATTTGGGCCTGATTCTCAGCTATTTCTTCCTTTCCTTTACGATAGCTGATATTAGCCCCCGGGGCAGAACATCTACCCCAGCTGGGGCACCCTGGTGTGCGGGGCAAGCGGGGGTGCACTACACCAGGGGCATCTGCTGCTTCACAAGGCCTGCAGGAGAGGAGGGGAAACAAGGCGTATTTCAGAGCAACTTTGTGGTGGCTCTAACTTCTGGAAGGGACCTGGGCAGGGAGCAGAAAGCAGAGCAGCAGAGCAGACAGGGGAGGGCTTGGAGGACCTGGGCGCCCGCTAGCAGTGGGGTTGCATTTACGTCTTGTGTCGGAGGCTGTGGGGCGGCTCTCCGGGAGTCCTCCTGCCAGGATCCCAGCTGCAGCCCCGCGTGGGGAACACCGAGTCACGGAGGGGAGGTTTTCCTTGCAGCCGTCGAGGCTGGAGACTGGAACGAACGCTGGGATCCGGCTGTCCCTGGCCGGGTGCCCGGAGCAGGGCTGGTCCGGTGTCTTGCCAAGCAGGAGATCCACCCGGTGCCTGGGGGCTCCTGCTCTGCTCACCGGGAGCAAATGGGCCCGTGCCTGCGCGGAACAGCATCTTCACGCCCTGGATCCCATCTAGTATCTCCACGGGGAAAAGGCTGAGAAAGTTTAGCTGCAAATCTCCTGGGGGCCGCTGATGGCCAAGGTCTCATTTCCCGATGTGCCCATCAGGGTCTCATTGCAGCTTGCTTTTCACAGACTCGTAGAAAAGGAGGGTGTGAAGGCACCTCGGGGGGTCACATCGAGTCCAACCCCCTGCTCCAAGCAGGACCAGCCCCAACTGCATCATCTCAGCCAGGATTATTTTCCCCACTAAAAAGAAAAGTTGGGGCAAGGAGTCATCTCCTTGCACTGGGGAGTCCAGGACCCTCTCGCTGCAGGTGGCAATGCAGATCTGGCCTCCCCAGCGGCCCGCCGACCCCCTTCCCCGATCCCCGAGGGCTGCCAGCTTGCACACCCAGCTCCGGGAGCACGGGGGGAAAAGCAGGTACTTTTCTGGCAGATAAAGACGAGCAGTGCGGGGAGCTGGGCAGATGCCAGGCACTTCCAGCACCCTCCTCTGCACGCAAACCCCGGCCCCGGTGCCTTCCCGGGGCTTCGGCTCTCCCGCCTTGCACCCTCTCCGTGTCGCCGGGAGGATGCGGGGCTTGGCCCAGCCGCTTCCCCGCTCTCCGGGTTTGGCGCGGGGACAAATTCCAGGTCTACGAAATTGCTTCGACTTGCTGTAATTTCTAAGGCTGGGGTCAGCCACCGGCGCCGCCTTCAGAAAGGACAAGGGATATGTAGCCGCAGCTAACTTGTTTCTTTCGTTTCCCCCCCAAAAATTAAAGCAGGCCTCGAAGAGCGCAGAGCTTCGCATCCTTCCATGGGAATGGGAGTGACCTCGACACAGACATGACCTGGGTTAAACGGGCCAAGGGCTCCGCTCTCCTCTGGGTGCTGGTTTTCAGCAGAAATGCTCTTTTTGGGACAGTAGAGCGTCCTCCATCAAAAGGGTCAGGTGTCGGTCACGGGCAGGATGCTGGACCAAGCGCCTTGATGGGGCTGCATCTCCTCTCATCCTCTCTGCCTCTGGAGACAGCGGTGTGTGGGGCTGTCCCAGGGGCAGATGGGTTGGTTTCGAGTTGGAGCAGCAAAGAGCCCCTAACTTATTATAGCTGGCCAGGGTCTCTATTAAAGGGGTGCATTTGCACCCCTCGTTTGGGTTTTGTAAATAGGAGCTTGCAGGGCGTGATGCTAAGGACATTTGTGTGCATAAGAAAAGATGCAGCATCCACCTCTCCTGGCAGCGCTGGAAACCCAGATGCCAGCGCCCCACCATAGAGATCGGAGAGTCTCTGGCTGGGACTGGCAAGACGCAGGCGGGGTGCAAACGGGCACTGATGCTCAGCACCGTGCATGAAGGATATTGGGGTCTCCTGGGGGTTGCTTGGGTTCAGTGTGTGACGGAAACCGGGACAGGGACGATGCTCCCAAGGTCCCCGAGCCTTCCCGAAACTGGGGCACGGTTGGCCATGTGTGGACAAGGGGTTGGCCAAACCAAAGGCGCATGGTGCCACCTCCTGGTCGGCCCGTGGATTGCTCCGCCATCACTTCACCCCGGTGCCGACAGCCCAGGGCTTGCAAAAACCCCATAATAGAAAATAATCCCCCCCATCAGCTCCCCCCACAACTGCTAACACTGGACCCAAACTACTTCTTCACCTCCCATGCGCCGCTCTCCGGCAGGGCCGCCGGTCCGTCCAGCGCGGCTCCACACCGGCTGCGCCTACTTCGGTGCGGCGGTGAAAATACCCACGGGAGCTTCCTTGAGGGAGTTTTTGGGGGGCTTGAGAAGGACCGGGAAATAATTCTTACACTGGAAACAGTCATTGGGTCTTTCTCAGTACCCTTAGCTCAAGCTGGGGGGGTGGTCGCCCAATTTCAATCAGTCGTTTCGATAATAACAGGCGTAGCCTGATAGGCCCAACACCTTGTATTTCTAAATGAATTATCCTGAGCCCCGTTTTCCTCCGGTCCCGCGCTCGGGCGGTTTCTCTGTCACCGGCGGAGGTGCTGCCGAAGCATCGTCGCTGGCCTTTTGGGAATGTATCGCGGGGGGTCCTACGACCTCCGGAGGCTAGAACTTTATTCGAATTTAGACCCCAAAATAACTCTTTTACTCCGGTGGCTGCATGAAAGGTCACAAGTCAGCTAAGTATAGGCTGTCACCAACTTGCTCCTATATATAACCGCTCAGGAGACTTGACGACATCCCATCTGTTAAAGCCATACCGGCCGAGGGATCACGGCATCCAAAAGGCCTCCCGATATATTTAGGGGCAACTACAATGGATAAAGCGGCAGCTGACTTAGGCGCTGCCTCTGTTCCCGGCGAGGGGAGTTCGTTAGCGCCCGGCGCCATAAATATTGGTGCTCCGAGGTAGGAATTTGGATGGCATCGGATGCCGCGGCCCTGCGGATGACATAGATCCCCTGCACGGGGAGCACGCAGCCACTGCAGACGTGCAGCCGCCTCCGAGCGGGGACTCAACCCCGCTCTGCATCAACCGTGCTACCCAGGAGGTCTTAGAAAGACAGCTATCCTCCGGTAGTTGAGCCACTGATAGGAGTTGGCCATCTCTGCTGAACTCCTTCATCCTCATGGAAAGGCAAAGGCCCGTCCTGAGACTAGGTAGCCGCTCAGCCTAGCGGCGTGGAGGCTCGCGTGGCCAACGCCCCAACCTGAAAGGCCATTGCCCGTTTACAGTAGGGTCAACCACAAATGCCGTTTGGTGGGTAGGACCTACGGGTAACTCCACTGCTCTGCGGCAAATAAAATATCCTTGCGCGCCACAGAGCCCGTGGGTACAGAGACCGTGCATATTTTTCCACCGTACTAATGGGGGGTGGCCTACATCTGCAGCATGCAATCCAGCGTCCAGAGAGGTTCGTTCTCATTGGGGCCCTGAGTGGATGCTCCAAGTGATGAGAAACGGGGCTGACCTTTCTAGGAAGGGAAACACAGTCGTATGTGGGCTTATGCGGCGAAGTGGGGTGCGTCAAGCAGTGGGTCGACGAGGCCCCGCATGCTCACGCCGCACCCTGCCTTTCTCCCTCCAGAGAAGGAGTCCCGAGAGCATGAGGAGCCAACCACCTCGGAGATGACGGAGGAGACCTACGCGCCCAAGGGATACAGGCCCAAGCACCCGCGCCTCTCTGAGCTGAAGGCTGAGGCCCTGAAGAAGGACCGCAGGAAGAAGATGACTTCGAGCAAGTTTGTCGGCGCGGCGGAGAACACGGCGCACCCCCGGGTCGCTGCCCCCGAGCTGAGGCCGGAGTTCGAGCTGGTGAGTCTTGCATGGGCCCTTTCCCCTGCACGCCGCCTTCCCCTTCTTGCTTCCTTTCCTTCCCTCTCTCCCATTTTCCCTGCACCAGTACAGGAGGCTTGGGCTGCTCAGGCGTCTGGTCTACTTGGTGGGAAGAGCAAGCTGGGAAGCACAGAGCTGCGTCCCAGCTTCAGCCTGGAAGGATTCATCCCTCCCGGGTGACCCTGGATGGGACGGGGTGTCTTCAGGCCGGTTGGGTCGGGACGGCGGGTCTCACCCTGGTTGTCACCTCTCGGCAGGGTCCTTGCCGCAGACAGATGGAGGCGTCGCTGCAGGAGCTCAAAACTAGCCAGCGGATGATCCCCAGAGCCGTGCACCTTCCCAACTGCGACAGGAAGGGTTTCTACAAGAGGAAACAGGTAGCGTCTTCACTGGAAGCCAGTGCGGTCCGATTCGGGGGGGATAACCCCCTCTATCTCAGCAGTGTCCTAGCAGGGGGCACAAATCTGCTAGAGCCGGGATCGAGAGCGGCTCCCAGCCCCCTTCGGGCGGCAGTCCGTGGAAAATCATGGCAATACTGCGCCTGTTGTCCAGCGCGGCGGTGCCTGAGATAATCAAAATGTCAGAGACAGGAAGGATAGTTTTCCTCCATTTTCTAGCTTTGCTTGCACAGTCCCACTCTGCAACTCTGTCCATCTCCGTTAGCAGCCCCTTAGCTCCCCGGCTGCAGTCCAGGCCGCCCTCAAGCAAGTCCCCGCTAGCCTATTCCTCATTGCCGTCTGCTCTAACTTCATTCCGCTGTGGAAACACACGGCGAATCGAGGCAGACAAGGTCCTTTGGGTAGATCTGATATTTTTGATTAGACCCGCTCAAATAGTCGGGAAAATTCTTCTTCGCAAGTGTTCGGGTATCAGTGCCCTTTGTCCACGAGCTTGACAGCCTTTCTCTGACGTCTCCCCGCGTCTCTCCGCAGTGCAAGCCATCCCGAGGTCGGAAGCGCGGACTGTGCTGGTGCGTGGACAAGTATGGCCTGAAGCTGCCAGGGAGCGGGTACGTGTCCGGAGACCTCCAGTGCCACCACTTCGACAGCAGCAACACCGAGTGAACCCCCCGCTGAGACCTCCCCGACCCCCGTGCCTCCCCGCGCCCCGGACTCGGACTCCTTTCATCTCATTTTTAAATAAAAAGAAACAAGCTGAAGAACCTGAGAACCTTGGAATCGACAGTCCGTCCTCGACCGCGACGACACAGACTGACAGAGGACAGGAAAGGAGGAGCAGAAAGACGAGCCAGTGGCTTCCTCCACGCCTCATCCCTGCTCCCCGCGACTCCCCCGGCCACGGCTCCCCGCTCCCTGCTCCCCGCCGAGGAGCGGAGGCAGCACGAACCTGTAGGAATTGCTCGAAAGCACTTGAGTTGGTGTTTTGCTCTCATGGGTTGCTTTGATTTTTACTATTCCTTCATTTTTTATTTTTTACTTTTTGCCCCGGATTAGTGAGCCGCTTCCCCCGCGGTCTCTGGAGAAGACAGAGGAGCCCTGCCACGAGCAACACTCCTGCTCCTGCCACTCGAGTCCCTTCTTCCACGTCCAATTTTCCCCTCTCCTCTGCTAGGACTTGAGTGGCTTTGATTTTTATCCTCCTCTCTATCGATATATCTATAGCCATAGATATATGCAGATTGCTGGGGGTTCGTAGATAGCCTTTTATATACCTTTTTTTAATGGTTTGCCTTATGCGAGAGAGCGGGTCAACGGCGCGGACGCCAACCAAATGTATTGGTAGACTTTCGGAAAAACAACCCCGCCTTTCCAGTCCCTCGGGGGAAAGGGGTGGTGTCCCTTCAGCAGGAGATCTCATTTCCTGGCACGTGTGACTCTGTTGAGCTGTTCTCCATCAGCGTGGGGACGTCTGTGGTCTGTCGCCTCCTTGGAAAACCAGCCCCCGTCCTGAACGCCGGCGCCTTCAACTTCAAGTGCAGAGCCGTTCCCTCGAACCATCTCCTGGGCTGGTCACAGACAAACATCCCTTGCAAGTCGACCGTGAACATTCAAGCCCGTGCATTACTTAAGGGGTTGTGGGATCGGGGCTTTCCTTGGCCACCTTGGCACCATTTGTGTCACAATGACGATGAAGATGAAGACGGTGATGGAGAGAAACTAATGACATTTTTAATTGCCCATCCAAATACGTGTTTGCCCCAGGCCAAGATGCCTTTTCGAGGCTGATGAATGCTACACACCCATGCGCACACAGATACGTGCAAGCCCATATCTATTTTTTTCCCCTAGTCCAGCATTCAAACACCCCTTTCAAGGCTCCTGCAGATGGTTTCCATTCACTCCATACAGTCAGAGCCCCCCAAGTCCAACCAGAGCAAACCGGGAGGCCTCAGGGCACGTAAATCCAATGGACTCAAGCTGCTTCGCCAGGCTTAGACCGCGACGTCCTTGGGACTCTACTTTTCTTCTTGAGTTTGAGACCGTTTCTTCTCTTATTTCACCATGACAAGGGTCTTGGCTAGGTTTGCTTCCACGGAGACCCTGCAGGAAATAAAACAGCCCTCCAGGGAAAGGAGCAATGGGCTCCATCCTTGCTTTGGAGACCTACTAGCGATTAAGAAGCCTCTCCCTGTTGCTAGCCATCTGCGCATGCAGACACGCATGTGCACACGAGACAGCGACCGTTCCCTCCCAGACGGGGAGCGCTGTGCGTCAAGACGTGTGGGGTGGCGGGCCAGGAGCACGGCCGGACAACGTGCTGACTTGAGACACCCGGGAGAGCGCACCTGGGAAGAAGGATGCCTGCCGCGAGCGCAGGTCAAAGGGAACCGGCGAGCCTCTGGGAGGGATGATAGCTTTGCACTAAAGGGACGCGGGTCCAGCTCTGTCTCCCTCTCACCCTGGACCTAGGAGGCAGCTTCAGTTCTGGTTTCACTCTGGATTGCATTGGCACGGGATGTTGGGTGTAGGGGAGCGGAGGAGCCAGCTGCCTGGCGAGTCCCGGGTGTGAAACGGGGCAGCCCGGTGGCCTCAAAAGGCCTCGTTCTCCGGGCTTGGGACAGAAGGATTGAGGAGGCTTTGAACCATGCTCCTTGTTCCCCGGTGCTACGGAGGGTCCTGCCAGGCCTCCAGCAGGCCGGTAGAGCAGCCTCTGGGCTGCTCTGCCTCGTCCTCTGCAAAAAAGCCTGGTGCACCATGCTGGCCGGCTGGGCTTATTGCACAGCGGCCTTGGAGGTTCCCTGAATTGGGGGGATGCTCAGGGGGGCTTTTTCTATACCTGCAAAGACCCCTCTTTGCTGCTGCACTTGTGTGAAGGGTCCTTAGTGTCACTGGGATCAGGACCAAGCCATGTGAATAGCAGAGAGGAGAAAAATGGCAGGAACACCCCCCCCAGCCCATCTCCATCACCAGGGATGGGGATTTCCTGAGGGTCTCACTCCTAGCTGTCACATCCACTGGGTTGGATCCAGCAAGGTGCTTAAACCACTGCACCCCAGAGAGGCTGGTCGCCATGTACAAAGTCAGGGCCTAGCTCAGCGTCCGCCCCTCCCCCCCTACAAGTGTGGGGCTGTGCAGATCCAGTCTCACTCGGTGCCGCTTTACCTGTGCATTACCACAGGCATCTCTGGGGTCAGAGCAGGAGTTTTTGGGTGGTGACGGAGGGTGTTGGAGGGGATCGGGGATGCCCCAGCTTGGCAGTGGTGGGAGAAAGGGTGGGTGGCTTGGAAAGGAGTTGAGTAGTGGGGCAAAGAGAAAGCCCCTCCTTGAGAGAGGGCCGTGCCCCAGGCGCGACGGCATCCCATGGGTAGGCCTTCCCTTCTCTCTTCCTCCAGCTGTCCCCACAACACTGCTCTCGCCTGCCCACGGCCAGTACCCCCCTCGTCCAAGACGCCTCCCTTTCGCCTCTCTCTCTCGTTCTTTTCTCTATCTATCTATCTATCTATTTTTTTTAAATTTTATTTTATTTCTCGAAACTTGAAAGCCTTTGGCTGCATGGGGAGGAGCATGCCTGGTCTGGCATGGGGTCGGGCTGTGGCTGTGGTCAGGGGAAGGCAGTGATGTGACTCCCAGCTGTGCTGGGACCCTGTGGCTTTTGTCCTGAGACCGCTCCGGGATGCACTTCTGGGGCCAGTTTGAGGCTGGGCTTGACCCCCAGGCTCCTGACCCCTGCCTCTCTGGGGTGGACTCTTTGCGAGGGGCAGAGAGCAAGACGCGTCCCTCTGACTGACGGGCAATAGGAAGTGGAAATGGAGGCTGGTCCCTAGACCAGAAAACGCAGGCAATAGCCGAGAGAAACCACCCCCGCACCAATGTGTGCACACGTGGGTGCACACAGGTGTGTCCCCAGGTAACAAGCGCTCTTTAAGAGGCAGCTGCCACCTTCTAGCCCGTTAGGAGTCTTCTCCCCCTCTGAAATCAGCCCACGAGATCCCCTGCCCTGTGGTTCGGGCTGCAAAGCCCATCTGTGCATGTGGTGCTGCCCAGGGCAGCTTTGGCCCATTGAAAACACCCTGCTGCTTTTCAGACCTGGGAAGGCTCAAATGACCTGTCATGCCGAGCTCCCGGCGCGTGTCCGGGGAGCAGGGTGGGCTCTGGGTCTGCAGGGGGCTGAGAGTGGGCTGAGACCCCAGGAGAGGCAGCATCGCGCGGCCGGTGGACCTGTGCACACAGCTGTAGGGCTGAAGGAAGACCTTTCCAGGCCTGACTTCTGCCAAGTGAGAGGCATCCGTGGTGCACTTCCCATGTCGCTCCCCGCGTTCGAGCAGACTCAGCAGGGTCCTTCCTGCTGATCCTCTGCCCTCCGGTTTGCTATAGGAGGGATCACAACTCCCCTCGGTCTCATCTGCCTCCTCAAGGAAGGCGTCCTGTGCACCATCAGGGGTCTTGCATGGGGGAAGTGGTGACCGTGACTGCCGGTGCCTGCCTTTCCTTCTCCTTTGACCACTGTGCTAGCCAAAGAGCAGCCGGGCAGGAGGCAGCCCCAAGGAAGGGCTCCCTGGGGTTCGGATGCATCGGGAACAGGGGGTGCAAACAGCTCCTCACCCGCTGGGTTATCCTTGTCTGTGCTGCAGTGGACACTCTGATTTTATTTTTATTTTTTTTTTATTTTTTTTTATAAAAACCACTAGTACAAGAGCGTTTTGCACTATTTCTCCTCCCTCTCTGTCCTGCCCCGCCTCTCTCTTTGGTGTTTTTCCCCAACGGCATGCGTATATTTAAACCCTAGACAATTCACCTCGATTCCAGACAGCTGTCCTGGTAACAGCAGCTCGGCTCACCATGTGATGCACTGCGCTGACCCCCACCTGCCCCACCACCACCCGGGTACCGTCCTTCCACCATACCGTTATAGCCCATTATAGCACAGTTGTTAACACACCGGATTTGGAGGTTCCTGCCTGGTTTTATCTTTAAGCAATACTCACTACACATTTTTACGGTAGCTCTTTATAACTTTACATACATACAGTAGCTCTGATTTCTTTTTTTTTTTTTTTTCAGTAAATGAGAAATATTCATAATCTTACTGGTGGAGAAAGAAAAAAAAATTAAAAAAAAAAAAAACAAGTTTGTGAAAAACAGACCATGGAAGAGGAGCGTACTGCTCTGTTTTAGCATTTTGTACTTTAAAAAAAAGAAAAAAAATGAAAAAATCTCACATTTTATTAAAAAAAGTGACGATCGCTGTATACTATTTATTCAACTTATAATTTATGTTACTCTTTGATCTTTGTCTTTTCTCATGACAAAGCATTTATTTAATAAAGTTATGCATTCAGTTAGCTTGTGCGCATGTGTGTGTGCATGCTCCCTCCAGACGGGTGGGGAGGGGTCTGGCTGGACCGGGAATAAAGATTTGGGGAGGGGAGGAAGGAAAGAAATCAGGGAGCCCAAGAGTGAATGTAGGGGAGAGTTTATGGGCCCTTACGCGTTGAGGTGGAAGCCAGAAAGACACGTTTCTGGGGGCAGACAACCTCACAGCTGCAGGGTGGCCTGGTCCTTCAGCAACACATCTGGGGCTGATCTTTCTCAAAGGGTGTCAGGTAAATTGTCCCTTGGAGCTGGTGCCATTGGGCTGTTCGCGCCAAGCCAACAGGAGCTGGCAAAGCCTTCCTGAAGGTGAGGCCTGGGGAGCTGGGAACAGGACAGATGCATCCCAAACAGCTCAGAAAAACCAGGCTCTGCTCCCAAATACGACCTGCAACCCTACTGCACCCAATGCACCAGCCTTTGCATGGTCTGGCTGCTTGCTCTTCTTTCATAGCACGATTCCCTGATTCCCTGGGCATCCTTGAGACATGCTCACATCCTCGCTCCCATGCGTCACAGGACAAACACCCTTTCACATTTAGCCCCTCTGTCAGAGACCTTGGGTTCAACACGTACTAAACTCCTGTGTCTCCTGCTGATTCCCATAGCAGCAGGTCCAGAGACCAGATGTCTGAGCACCGATGTCCCCACAACCCAGCTCCGCCAACCCCTGCATGCAGACCTCCCTTGTAAATGCCCCCCACACAGCAACAATCCCAAAGCACCCCTTAGCTTTTGCAGAGGGTCATTTTCCCCCAAAGCACCGCCCAGACACCTGGCACAACCCCACTGTGGGGCAAGTCAATGCCATTTCCCCGCGCGCAGCTCGGGAGTCTGCAGCTACATGGGGCCCCTGGGCCAAGGCTCAGGTGTGCTGCTGCCAGTACCTTGTCTCCTTTAATGGTGGAAGTGACCCCAAAGGAGAGTCAATCAGACTGGACCCCCTCAATTAGACTGGACCCCCTTTGCTAGAGTCAATTAGACTGGACCGGGCAAAGCACGGAGAGATTAACCAGCCTGGCCTACGGGGAGGAGAGCCACTGCCAGTCTCCAACCGGAGCCTCTGCGCTGGAGAAGCAGAACGTGCTACCCATCGAGCACCTGGGCACGAGGGGATCAAATTCCTGCATTTCCCATGTTGCAAGACATTAGGAAGAGCCAGAGCGGAAGTGCCCCTGACCCAGGTCATTTGGGTAGATGTGATCTCTTTTATTAGACCAACTAAAAAGTTGGGGGAATTGCTCTTCGCAAGCTTTGGGGCACAAACACGCTTCTTCAGGCATCAGAGCAACCCTGACCCACCCGGGCAGAGGAGAGCAAGGCCCGCCTCCCATGTCTGACCAGTGTGGCGCTGACACGCGCTGCCCACCAGGGGGAGGCTGCACCCCATGCTTCCATGCTTTACAGCCAGGTTGCAGGCTCCTCGGAGAACAGCGATGGAGGCAAGCAGGGTGTTTTGGCTTTAAATGCACCGGTCCCAGTAATAATTCCCAGTCCTCTGCCAGCTCTCTTCCTAGGCAAGCATTCAGCCCCCGCCTTCTACCAGCCCCCATCCAGCATTAAAGAAGTTTGCTCCGCTTCCAGCCAGCTCTGTGCATCCAGTGCCCCCCTCACTTTTGGCAGGCAGTTGCCTAACTCAGGAAGCCAATGTGCAACCTCCCAAACAGGGAGGCTGAACCCAGATCCCCCACTCCATGACCAGAGCCACCTGGGAGCCTGGCATTTGAGGGGGTGGGGGCTCAGGAGCCTGGGGGACAAGGAAAAGACACAGCTGCAGAGCCCTAAGGGTGGCCCAGTTCCCCTTCCCTGTGCACCAGGGAGGGGCCTTATGATGTCTCGGCACCCCATGGTTAGTGCCCAGGCATGCAAGCTCTCAGGAGAGTGAGCTGGTGTGTGCACACGAGGGTCGGCACACGTGCGTGGGTTCACGCTTGCAGAACCACGTCATATGCACAGCTCGGAGCGTGTGAGTGAGACCTCCTTGAGCCCAGCAGAGATTTCCCTTCACCCATTGCTCTGCCCGCCTGGGTGGGGATGAAGCCGCTGTCCCAACCGGGCGTGAGATCCTCTGGCCTTCCCAATGCCCCTTCGGTGTGCATGCGAATGTGGCCACTGACCCGGGGGTCCGGACTCGGGGGAGGTGGCTGCCCATTCTCCCCACCTGGACAGGAAAAGCCTCACTTGCATTTCCTTTCTAGAGGGCTGTAGGCTCCTCGTCCCCACTCATTTCACGGGCTTGAGGCTCCTCAAAGCCCCCTGAGGATCTGGGCCTTGGGAGTATGGGTGGCCGGTTTGAATACGGGCCAAACTGTGAGATGGCACCTTGCCTTCACAGCACCTCACACCTGTGATGAAATCAGTGTCTTGACACCCCTGGTGCCCCCTGCCCCATGGCTCTGTGCCACGTTTGCAGCGGGCATGCTTTTTTCCTCCCTGGGGAGGGATCTGAATTAATGTGGATAGGATGGCATGGGTCGCCCTTCCCTTGAGATGGGCCTTTCATGTGTCAGCTGGTCAGAGGTGACCTGACCTGAGCCAGCAGCCTGGCCCCATGCCCCAGGAGGTGCCAGCTATGAGATAAGAGGTGGTCTTGTAGGTACAGGTATTACAAATCCCCAGGGCACGCTCTGCAGGAGTCAGGCTGGCAACCCATCGTCCCAGACAGCATAGTCCACTGTCCTCTATTCCTTGCTTTAGTCTCTCCTAGGTGTGGGGCTTTTCTCCCTCTACGTCCTAAAACACTGCAGGGTTTTTGCCTTCCTATATGATGTGGGGCACAGTCCTCCTGCAATCGGCCAAGCAACTAGGTGCCAACTGTTGCCCTGTAGTTAAGGCAATGCCCAAAGCTCCCGGGGCAGATCCAGGTGGGAGCAGTGGTGAAGTCACACCCCCCACTTTGATTCCTGAAGCAGGAGCATCCATATCCAAACCCTCCCAAACAAATCCATCATCTAACCTCGTAGTAAAGCTACCATCAACCCAGTCTTAATCAAGCCATCCTTTCTCCTGCAGTTTCAGTCTCTGCTAGCCATTCCTGGCAATCTCTCCTGTTTCACAGTCTAGTTTTAGCTCTAGCTAAAAAAACCTTAAGTGCAGTAACATTAAGTCAGGTGAACATTAACTCAAGTGTGGAAATGACTGATAGTGGAGTGCTGGACATCCTGTCAAGATGCTCAAGAAGGCTAGATGTTGTTTCAAAACTCTGAAGAAGAGATGTGCGTTTAACTGTAGTGACTCCGGGACTGATAAAATGATATCTTTCGACTACTCTTGTCTAGTTTGCTGTGTTTTTTTAAACATTATAATCTAGCAAATTATTGCGCATCCCAATATATATTCCTTTTTGCTTTGAGGTCAAACTGAGTAATGTAGTCTTTGGCCCCTAGCATATTAGTAAAGCTTCTAGTTTCTTTTTATCCAGAGAAAAAAACGTGTGTTGTGTTATATGGGTTGTTGCAGCACACCATCTGCACCCCACTTTTGCAAATCCTAGATCCACCCATGTGCATCTCCCTTGCTGTTACCTGGGGGTGTTACGGGGTGCTCTTGCCTTTGGAGGAGGGTGTGACGTGGTGATTTGGGGGATTCCCTCGTCAAGAGCTGCCTGTGCGTGCTGAGGGTTAGACATGATGATCAGGGGCCCTCCGCTGTACTCTGCTAGTGGGCCCCTCCTGCCCAGAGCATTGCAGGACCCTCTATTTTCCACACCTTCCTCTCACGGAGGTTGTGAACCTTTAGCAGCAATAGTTAACTGAACGGAGATCTTCAGACAACAGCCACCAAGTGCAACTGTGTCTTTTCTGTCTGACTTGGGATCCTGGCTATTTATTTGTTGACTTCTAAGCAATGCCAGGACATGTATTCTTCGTTTTAAAAAGCAACATGCTTCACTTAACCCACATCAGTGGGAAACAGTGGCTGTTGCACAGGGTGCTGCACATCATTTTGGGATTGGAAGCAATAGAGAATATTAATATCTATCCAGGGAGCATCACAGAGTGACCTTCCCTGAGGTCTGGACCTGTCATTGTTGAGACACCTTTATGAATCCCAAAGACATGGACTTTTGCTTGTTCACCATGGCAGACTGCTCAGACCTGCCAGCCTGTTACCTGGGGGGAAGCCTAATGCACTCCACACATAATCCAGGTGTAGTTACAGGAGAAGAGCGAGCAGTGCGCCCTCGGCACCAAGAAGGCCAACGGCATCCTGGGCTGCACTGGTAGGAGCGCTTCCAGCGGGTGGAGGGCAGTGATTCTTCCCCTCTGTTCAGCACTGGGGAGGCCACATCTGGAGTCCTGTGTCCAGCTGTGGGCCCCCACTACAGACAGGATGTGGACACATTGGAGAGAGTCCAGTGGAGGGCAATGAAAATGGTTGGGGACTGGGGGACAGGACTGGTGAGAACCTGAGGGAAATGGGCTTGTGTTTAGTCTGAAGAAGAGAAGACTGAGGGGGATTGAATAGCCTTCACCTCCCTGCAGGGGGGCTGCAAAGAGGATGGAGCTGGACTGGTCTCAGTGGAGCAGACGACAGGACAAGGAGCAATGGGCTCAGGCTGCAGCAAGGGAAGTTGATGTCGGATATTAGGAAAACTTCCTCACTGGAATGGTGGTGAAGCACTGGAACAGGCTACCCGGAGAGGTGGTGCAGTCTCCATCCTCGGAGGTGTTTAAGACCTAGGTAGACAAAGCCGTGGCTGGGATGATGTAGTTGGGGCTGGTCCTGCTTGGAGAAGGGGGTTGGACTAGATGTGACCTCCTGAGCTCCCTTCAACCTTCATTTCCTATGATTCTGTGTTTCTGAGATGGGTAGATCTCCGTACACAGGAGCGTACCCAGGGAAGTCAAGGGGAGTCCACCTGTGTACGGTCAGTGGGTTTCCCGCGTTAGGACTCCTTGCTCCTTGTTCAACATCTTGTTTAACATCCAGCTTCATTTGTTGGAAAATATGCCCCCGTCTAGGCTATTCTCAGTCTCCCCTTGGTTTCTTGTCCCTTTCTAACCCTGCTGTCCTTCCTGTTCTTACTCTGCGTTGGTCTCTCACTCCCCACCACTGCTGTGTGTACCCTGTCCGGCAGGAATCCCTCATCCCACAGCCTCAGGCTTTCCATCCTGGCCTCTCCTCCATTCCCCCTGCTACAAAACAAGACTTGCTGTCATGCAACATCTTGTTACGTTATGGAGTTGGCAGCTCAGAGACTCCTGGTCTCATACTTTTCTGGGGCTTAGCTTCTTTCTGCCCTCAGGTCTAATCTCAGGACAGGCAGGTAGGTAGAGGCAGTCTCCACCCAGCTTCCTGGATGCAAACACATCTGTGCCTTTCCTGGGACAACACAGCTACCTTACAGCTGCCATGCCAGCAAGAGTGTAGCGAGCACTCTGACTGCAGAAGAGGCCAGACAGCCGGCAGAAGGCACAGCCGCGTGTCTACACACACCATCTTCCACCCGCCCAAAGGCAGCAAAAGCTTGACTCTGCTTGACAGAAATGCAGGGACTGTGCCAGCAGAAAGGATGGGCCTGCCTCTGCAGAGGCTTTTGAGTGTGGATGCTCTGGACTAGACCAGAACCACCAGCAGACGACAGGACAAGGAGCAATGGGCTCAAGTTGCAGCAGGGGAAGTTGAGGTTGGATATTAGGAAAAGCTCTCTCACTGCGGGCAGTAAAGCACTGGAACAGGTTACCCAGAGAGGTGGTGGAGTATTTAAGACCTGAGTAGACAAAGCCTTGGCTGGGATGATGTAGTTGGGGCTGGTCCTGCTTGGAGCAGGGGGTTGGACTAGGTGTGACCCCCTGAGGTCCCTTCCACCCTCGTTGTTGATGATTTTATGATTCCATAACACTGTTGGAGGCTCTGTATGATTCATCCATGGAGGACTTCCTTTGCACTCCCCAGAGCCAGAGACTGACTTGTTTCTACTAAAAATAAAGGCTTGCCTTTTGCAGAATCAGAATCTAATGTATGTGCTACATAAACAGAGCTGGCGGATGGGATAACTGACACCCTTGTCCTACACATACGCAACTGGGACCAATAATAATAAAAGGGCCAACTCTGCTCGCTACATGCAGAGTCCACTGTGTACAATACCCGTAGGACAAAGCCATGAGTAGGTCAATGTTTATGTGCGATGCATCAGGCAAGGCCACGTGTTCTATTAATAGAGGGGAAGAAAGATGACCCTTTTTTTTGGCATCTTTAATTTATTCCAACGTTACACAGTTCAGCTTTTCCAAGACAGAAAGAGAGGGGAAAAAAAGCATCCTGATTTCTAAACAAAATGAGAAGTACAAACTGCAGAGGAGAGCTGATGCTCGCAAGGTTTACATGGAAAGCAGAAACAAATCCCCGTGGGTGTTAACAGAAAACAGGTAGCACCAATTTTTACAATGCCTAGCTTGTGCACACAAAGTAAAACCTCCAAAACCAAAGCGACTCCCCACTCCCTTTTCAGCTGGATTCATTTAGTCTCACCACTCCGCAGGCTGGGGCTGGATTTCAGAGCGCGGCCCCCATGCTGGGGATTTGGTGTGGGTCACTTGCTGCTGCAATCTGAAACCTGGATCCTTCTCCCAAAACAGAAAAAATACTGCATTTTTTCTATTCGTATTAAAAGAAAATGAAACCCCCAATCTTGGAGATCTTCTTTTCCCTTGATGCTTCCTTTGCCCTTCTGCACTGACATTTTCTCAGGAGAGTCTGCCATTGGTATTGTTAACTAAGACTATCTTTGTGTGTGTGCACATGTGCTCGGTGAGCGTGTGTGCATGTGTTTGAGTGCAGGTGACATGTTCCAACAGAGGACACACAAGTACTAGTGATTCCCATTAACGCCAAATGAGGCCAAGTGAAAGTCCTTTAACTGGACAGAAAAAGGATGCAGAAGGGGGAAAAAATGGTTAAAAGCCAGGTCTTGTCACTTCCCCAGGATCGCTCATGGGCTCCTCCGGCCTGGGTTCATCCAGCTGCTGTACTGCAAGGAACAAGCAGACTGTCTAAGCATGGCAGCATGTGATGCTGTGAAGGTGGAGCTGGGGTCCCGTGCCTGCCTTTTGCTGCAGTGGCAGTGATGTGCCCATCCTGGTCCAGCTCAAACCCTGCTCTTTCGATTTGGCAGCCAGTGCACGACCCTGTAAGAGATGCTGCAGCTTCCCCAAAGGACTCAGACCCACCGTTGCTTTTACTGCTCGGGCTACCGAGTCACAGCACCGCTGCATGTTTCCCTGGGGAGAAGATGAAAGATCTTCCGAGGCATTAATCAAGCTGCTGGCTCTGCTTTTCAGGCAGGCCACAGGCTTGTCTGTCCTTCTACACCGTCCTTTTCCTCTGCCATACATCCTGCTCAGAGGCTGCTTCTCCAGGGCTTTACTGGCTGCCCTTGTTCCTTGGCCACGGGTAGGAAGAGGGAGATTTTGCTTTCCTCTTTGAATACATTAAGAAAACTCCAAGGATTGCTCTGCAGGCCCTAGGGATTGCTTGGGAAATGATACTGATATAAAAACAACAGTCTTGTTGCTCGTGTGCTTGATTCTCAGCTTCTGCTTGATGCTGCTGGGACCTGATCAATGTGTGGAGGAATGGCGGCTGGGGAGCCGATCTTCCCGTGCAACAACACCAACAGCTCCTGGGTTGGCTCTGATTTAACGAGGCACGTGTGTGTGTGCGCACATTCGCACATGTACATGTGGGTGCGTGTTCAGGACTTTGTGGAGCACTAGGGATCTGGTGCTTGGCTTACAAAATGTGTGCAAGGTTTCCGGGGGATGGTGACAGCTGCTTGGGAGTGTGGGTTTTAGATGGGTTTTGGTGAGGTGGGAGAAAGGCCCTCTGGATCGTCACCCACCCCCCTGCCCTCGCAAGCCTCTTCCTTCCATTACACATGCAAGGCCTAAGCCCAGAAACGTGGAGCACCTACGATGACAGCACAGATGCTCAACAGGACCAGGCCTTTCACTAGAACGTCAGCAGCAAAGGCCTGGCCCAGGAGAATGGAGATGGCTTGGCAGATCAAGGGCCAGGGCCCTTAGCTCTGAGGCTGTAATTCAGGGCCTGGTCCTGAGTGATGGGCTTGATCAGTCTCCAATCCACCACCCTCTAAGGCCTCCCAAGGGAAGGGCGAGATGAGCGGCAAGGCAGGACTGCCTCCTCCCCCACAAAACGACCAAACGCACACAGCAGCTTGACGGCAGGGACAGGATGACGGGGCCTGAGCAGCAGGTGATGTCATATTTACATTCTTTGGTCTTTGGGGGCAGCAATTTTCATCCAGAGTGTTATCGTCTCAGCTCTTTGGAGACGCAGGGGGAGGGAGAGGGGAAAGGACAAGGGGGTTTGGTGCTTTGTGGTCACCGGGGACGCTGGGCCTTCTCGGGCACCGCCAGTGTCCTCCCTCGTGCAGAGGGGAGCTCGGGAGTTGTAGGGGAGCCTGGTGGTAGCTGGCGGGGGCCGAGCTGGCAAAGCAGAAGCTGTTTTTCTCTGGCTTGCATTAGGTGAAAGGCTAAAAGAAAGCAGCCCCATCTCCCTCCCCCTCCCCCACAGCCCTCCTCGAGGGGGCTAAGGGTGAGGGATCACGAGCCACCTGCTATGCACCCAGCCAGTCTCTCTCAGGAGATAAATAGAGATGTGGAAACCCATATAAAATCCAGCAGTGAGGCCAGGCCGAGCTGTCTCCAGTGAGCAGGAACACGTCCATCTACTGCCCACGCAGGGCATGTGCTCCTCGATCCTCCTGCTCGTGCGCTGTGTAGAAGAGGTGGCACTCAGGGTCGCCCCGGATGGTGGGTGCCCCCTGAATCACCTTCCCATTGTTGGGGTTCACACACCAGCACTCTCCTCGCTGACCGTTCACGGACATCTTGCACTGTGGGGAAAGGAGAGGGGCAGGGTTAGCGGGCAGGAAGGATCGAGGACTCCAGCCCCCATGCCAGAGGGGCTCAGGCGTCATTGTTGAAGGAAAGCAGAGGCCTGGTAATGAATGGAAACAGACTTTTTTTTGCTGGGCTGAGTCTACGCTGCAGTCAGGTGTGAGGTGGCAGGCTTGGGCCCACCGCGTGCCCGTCACAGTCAAGAAGCAGGGGTGCAGGTCTCAGGCAGCTCTACAAGACCCCACAGGGACTCAAGGGAGCTCCTTTGCTCACAGTGAAGTCCATGCAGCTGCATTTCCCTGGCTGCTGCCCAAACATGCTTTACATAGCCAATGCAGAAGGAAGCCAGCATCCCCAGGCCACCTGAGGAGCTTGCTATTCTCCTCTCTGCTCCTGCAACACTTCCATCCCTGCCTTGTTCACGGACGACCCTGGGCAGCAGGCTCTGTGAGACAGGCCCCTTCTCCTGAGGTAAAAGCAGCACCAGGACTGCAGGGTGCCCAGGGCCAACAAGAGAGCACAGAGGGTCCTGGAGTTTGTGTGCTTGTGAGAGCTGAGCTCAAGTCAGTCTGTGCAGCTGAGCTGCAGGTCAGATCACGGGTTCGACCAGAGTGAACGAGAAAGCTTCCCTCGTGCAAGTGGCTTCCAGGCATCCATGCCTGAGTGCCTGATACATGAGCACAGGAAGGACTGGAAGTGCTTTTGTTGGCAAGGAGCCTTCTGCTCGCAGGGTGGCAAGCCCCAAGGAGCCGACCCCAGGGCACTTGGCTCTGGAATGGCAGATGAAGGCAGTGGGCTTGAAGGTGACCTTGGAGCGCTTGAGCAGCTCCAGCCCTGGGACAGCCATGAGCACAGCTCCGGGCAGGGGCTGAGAAGCTCCTCTGGGAAAGCTCAGCTCTTCTTGTGAAGGGCTGGTAGCATCCACCCGCTGTGTCTGTCCCCCCTCCACCCAACATTGCAAATGTGAAGGCAAAGAACTCTGTCAAATAGCTGGGGAAACCGAGGCAGGGAGAAGGGCTGGGATGTGCTTGAGGACACAGAACAGGCCTGTGACTGAACCAGGCTGAGAGCTGGTGGCCCGCCAGAGCTAAGCCTTCCCTGTTGCAGGGGCCAGGAGCTGTAACCCCCTGGGAGCTGTCGTTTCCCTTTCTCCCCATCATAATAAGAGAACTCACAGGCTTCTCAAAGGGACACTGAGGGAGAGAGGTGGGGGAGTCTCCATCCTTGGAGGTTTTGAAGACCCGGGTAGACAAAGCATTGCCTGGGATGATGTAGTTGGGGCTGGTCCTGCTTGGAGCAGGGGGTTGGACTGTGACCCCCTGAGGTCCCTTCCAGTCTCATTTTCTGTAATTCTATGGCTGAGCTCTCTGCCCTCCCAGAGCAAAGCTGGGGCCCTACCTCCCTGCAGCCTGCTCCACTGGCTCCATCAACCACTTGCAAAGCTCTCACAGCAGGATCAAGCCTCAGTTAAGGCTCCAGTCCTGCCAAGGGATGAGCCCCTCCTGCCAGGGGATAAGTGCTCATTTGCCCCATTCATATCACAGCACAGCTTGTCTCAGAAAGAGATGCTTTCCCTTCCTATGCAGTACAGATCACCACTCCAGGCTGCTGGCAGCTCATTCGGCAGCTGGCTCCCTTCAGACAGCTGCTGTGTGTGGGGGGAATTAGCCAGCTCTCTCAGGCATGGTCACTCCCAAATAATTGCAGCCCTGGAGGCTCCAGCTGGGCCTTGCATCTCCTCACTGTCCTGAGGCAAGCAGGCAAGACACCTCCCAGCCCCCACACTCTTCTTTCAGGCTCACATCCCAAGGGTCCAATCTCAATCTGCAGTGGAGGGCCAGCCCTCAGAAACATCTTCTCTTGGAGTCATCTCCGTGACACCGATTATACGAGTTGGAGGTTATTGAGGGAGTGACACTTGCACCCAGGTGCAGTTCAAAGCCCTGTGAGATCTGTATCCTGACAGTTCAGAAGAGGCCTCCCCTCCCAGCGCAGCTGAAAGGAGCTGGGATGCTCTTGCTGTTTGCTGAGGGCTCTGCTCAGCTCCTGAAGTACCTGAGATAAATATAGTGCCGAGGCTAATGCACGATGCAGTGTAGTGAGAGGACTCGTGAATGCAAGGCCCTTCCCTGGACAGTATCAGAACTGCTCAGCTGTGAGTCAGAAACCCTGTACTGCTTGCTGGAGAGTCTCCTGGTACCCAGATGCTAGGACCTTGCTGATGTGGATCTGAACAGCTCCAGGGAGCCATGATGTGCTGCATGAAGACAGCCATAAAGCTCCCACGTGATCAGGGGCTTGGGGTGTAGCACCAGGAGGCAAAGATTTGTATTGGTGGGTTTTTATCAATGCAAATGTACAATCCCTGGTTTATTTTCAAACATGCGCACAAACGTACGTGCTTGTACTTGCCTGCATTTCAAATTTTTCCTCAATGCTTCCCCATGTAAGGATTGCAGAAGTCAGGGTCCATAAGAATTTCCAGGACAGTCACCCTGGAAATAGCCTATTCATGCCTTAACCTTTTATTTTAGGTCTTACTAAAAATCCCAAGTGATACCTCTGGTACTGCAAGGTTGGATCCCTCCTTGTAAGCCTGGGCCCTAAGGCATTCATGCATACTGAAGTACATGTATCCAGGGCAGAGAGACCACAGAATACAGTCAAACATCTCATGTCCCATACAAAGCGTGGGGAGCCAGGCTGACCCATACCCCTTGCAGGGCACAGCTGGATTCTGCAGAGACAGAAAGAACATAGAGCCAATGCCCCTTTTGTTCCCTTCCAGGTACTGTGGGCTCTAGGCAGCCCCCACTGTAGGGAAATGCAGTGCTCCTGATGCTTGTAAGTTTTGTCATGCAGCCTCTAATGGTTTTTGCCTTGGGGGACAAGTCTGTGGTTGTAGCAACACAGCTCAGTGAACCAGACACCCTGGAGCCACAGGTTCAGAAACCGGCAGAGCCAGCTTGGAGGCTAATTCAGAGTCTGTGCTGTGGGCAGGAAAGGGCTGGGTGTGCATCAAGATGCAGGGGGGTGTTGGTTGTAGCCATGCTGGTCTAAGGACACAGGCAGGCAAGGTTCTTTAGGTAAATGTGTGGGTTTTTTTATTAGACCAACTAAATAGTTGGAAAACTTGTTCTCTGCAAGCTTTCAGGTGCAAATGCCCTTCTTCAGGTAATAGGGGTTCTTCAGACTCTCCCTATTGCCTGAAGAAGGGTGTTTGTACCCGAAAGCTTGCAAGGAACAGTTCTTCCAATTATTTAGTTTATCTAATAAAAGATATCACATTTACTCAAAGAACTTTGTCATCAAGATGCAGGGGCACTTCCTGGTGGTGTCTTCCCTGGCTGCGTTGGCCTGTGTTTCTATTCCCTGAGCTGCTCTGCAACAGGCTGTGGGGCTGACTTGCCACCCCCACCATACAGCTGCGGTCCCTAAGCTGTTTGTGACAGGTTAGGATGAGAGGCACTATATAAACAAGGCAGAAGACTTCTCAGGCCAAATGCATCTTTTCCCTGCATCCCCATCACCTTCCTCACTGCACCACAGGGCTTCTGCAGCTTTCCCATCACTAGAACCAAAGGGTCAAATGGATCCACAGACTGAGTGGAGTTTCATCCCAGCTGGTACAGGGCCTCCAGAAGGGCAAACCAAAGCTCTGGAAGGAGACTGCAGTTCATACTACTCCCTGGCTATTAGGACCTGGCACCAGCCTTGCTTTTGTGGAAGAAATTGATATTGATCTTTCTAGGAAAAATCAACAGGATTCCTGCGGGGGGGGGGGG